GTATTTTTAAGCCAAAGGAAATTTTCTCTCTAAGTGTTGTTACCCATCAACCGTAACCTTCTTGATTTTCCCAAGCTGTGAAAAATCCAAAGTGGTAACACGCAATGGCGGATGAATTTAATGACTCTTTTACTAAATAAAACGTGGGTCCTTGTTCCATTTACCTCTAACTTGAATTTAGTCGGTTCTAAATGGTTGTATCGCATAAAATATAAATCAGATGGGTCTATTGAGCGGTACAAAACTCTTTTGTTAGCACAAGGATTTCATCAGCAGCCTGACATTGATTATCATGAGACTTTTAGCCCCGTTGTCCGCGCCACTACTGTGAGACTTGTTCCTTTTCTTGCTCTCTAATTTTCTTGGCCAACTCGCCAGTTGGACGTCAAAAATACATTTTTCCATGGTGACCTTAATTAGGAAGTCTTCATGAAACAACCTCCAGGATTTGTTCATGCCGACGATCCTAATCATGTTTGCAAACTAAGCTTGAGACAAGCACCCCGCGCTTGGTTTAATTGTTTTAGTTCACTTCTTCTTTCTCATGATTTTGTTTGTAGAAAATCTGATAGTTCAATGTTTATGTATCGTTCCTCCCTTGGTGTGCTTCTTTTACTACTCTATGTCGATGATATCATTCTCACAGATAGTCATATTGGTCTTCTAAATCAATTCATTTCTCGGCTTTCTAATCAATTTGCTATGAAATATTTAGGTGATCTTCATTTTTTTGATATTCAAGAAGTCCGTACGTCCCAAGGTCTTCACTTATCTGAACAAAAATATATTTTTGATGTGCTTTATAAATTCCACATGCACACATGTACGCATGTGCGTACCCCAATAGCTTCTCGCACTAATATCTCTCTTGTGGACGGTGAGTTACATTCAGATCCTAGTGAGTATACAAGAATTGTAGGTGCTCTCCAATATTTGACTATGACGCGTCTAGACATCGCTTATGCTGTGAATGTTGTATCTCAATTTATGCATACTCCCCGCACCACTCATTTGCATTGTGTCAAGCGCATTTTCAAGTATTTGCAAGGTACACTAACTCATGGTTTGTCTTCACGTGCCTCCTCATCCACCTCAATAGTTATTGCTTATTCGCATGTTGGTTAGGCTGGCTGTCCCGATAGTCGGTGTTCTACAAAAGGATCTGCTATTTTCCTAGGTCCCAATATTATTGCTTGGCGTGCAAAGAAGCAACCAACAGTCTCCACATCTTCTATGGAGGCTGAGTGTAGGGCTGTTGCATACACTGTTGCTGAGACTTGTTTGATTCGTCACATTCTTTGTGAGCTTGGTGTGTTTATTTGTGGCACTATCCGCGTGTTGTATGACAATGGCAATTATACATACATGACTCGTAATCCGGTGCTTCATGATTGCTCAAAGCATATTGATGTTGACTTCCATTTTGTTCCTGATAAGGTTGCCCATGGGGATATTGTGGTTCAATATGTTCCCAAACACTTGCAATTCGCGGACATTTTCACAAAGGGTCTTTCCTCTTCTCGATTTTGTTTTATACGAGATAATCTTTCCGTCATTGCTACCCGTCCAGATTGAGGGGGTGTATTAGAACATAAATAGAGTCCTTGTATAATTAAAACTGCTAGTAAACAAAGAATCCTTATAGTACTTGTTGTCTTTAAGACTTAAACTTTTTATGATTGTTTATTATATATTCCAGGCTCATGAGAAGGGCGTAATGCGGAAAACATTACTTTTCACAAATGAATACTCCGTATTTTTATACTCATACTACACTTGTGCATCTTTTTCTAATATGGCTCCTAGTATGAGCCTTCCTCTTTGAGCATCAAATCACTCATGGCTATCACATAGGTTGTTGTGGTGATCTTCACGTTTCGAAAGAGTTGTTGATTTACATCTTTTTTACTGACTAGTATTTTGTATTTTGATTACTCAATTCACAAGTATATAATCCGTTACATACTAAGATGCTCATGAGTCTGAGACACTAGGTCCAGGACTTCGTTCTCTTATTTAATTAGTCTTTCTTCGGCACTTTCATGCCCATTTCTTATATCATGAAATGTATTTATATATCTAGACTATATGTCCTATTTTGTATCTTTACTATTCCACATTCCGCTCTTTCTCTTCTTTTAATGTTTGTCTTCCGCATTATCTTGTTTGGGAGCTTGGCTTGGGTACTGGGTGGTTTTTGTTAGTGTCATCATGGCTCCATTTTGGATTGTGACATAGACGGATCAAAAGGATGTGTATAGTATAATTCTAAAGAATTTAGCTAATTGTAAACTTAAATGTCAGATTTCTACGAAAGGAACATTTATAAGTCATTATTTAAGAAGAAACCTAATTTTTATAGAACTAAGAATAAAAATAACAAAAGCGCAATGCATAACCTCAAAAAAATTTAGTTGACAAGTTAAAATTTGTATTCATTATAATTAAGTAAATGAAATATTTATATATGTAAGAAAAATGCACTACACAAAAGTAAGGAGAGTGATATTATGGGGGGGGAATAGAAAAAATGGTCTACATCACCCCTTAATGTATACCCGAAATCCCAACTATACACTCTAACTTAACGGATGTCCCGTCATCCCCTAGGATATTTTTATATTAAAATATATACACCTTTAAAAAGTCATACCTAGATTTATGTTGAGTAGTGATAAACACTCTCCTACCACATAATAATATATTATTTTTTCAATTAATTTTTTCAATTAAACACTTATTATTTTTTTTTGTATTTATTGTATAGTTTCCTTGCTCTTTCTCTGTTACACTTTTAATCCTCTTTTGACTATTGTTTTGTTTTTGTTTGACAATAACTTGTTACCCATTCATGTAAAAACCCAAAAGCACATTACCTTCTTTATTTCTTCTTTTTTATGTTATTTCTATATTTTGTATTTCATTTTAGTTTTTATAATTTTAGTGAACAGAAAAGGGCCTAAAATACCCTTAAACTATTGAAAATGGTACACAATTACCTCCCATCCACCTATTGGCCCCCAAATACCCTTCACATCTACCTTTGGGTCCAAACTTACCCCTTCATTAACGGACCAAAATTAAAAATAATTAAATAATATTTTTTAATTACGTGGCACCTAACCATTGGTTATAATTTATTCAAAATAATTTTAAACTCACCCATTACCCACCCATTTTAACTAAACCCGCCCCACTTGACCCAATTTAAAAAAAATCCATCTAATTAAAATACCCTAAAACCTTATTCCTCCAATTTTCACAACTTCTATGGACTCCATTATCTTCTTCTTCTTCCCGAAGAAAATGTCAGGAAATAAAATTAATAGTCAATCTTGATAGCTGCCTCTAAAGAAAAGCCACCATTAAAATAAAATTTATCACATAAAAATAGAAGAAGACCTAACTAAATATGTGTATGTTTTATCAATTTGGGGCTGCATTTGGACTTCTATCCTTTTTATTTAGAAAATGATCAAGTTGGCAGATGGACATGTGAACATACACTTGGCGGCTCTTAATTTCATTACACTCATCAAGACTTAGTTATAAATAGCTCTTAATCCATCTTAGTTTGTACAAACAACATTACTTCTCAACAACATTTTCTTCATTTTTCTTTGGGATGAAGAAGAAGAAGACAATGGAGTCCATGGAAGATGTGAAAATTGGAGGAATAAGGTTTTAGGGTATTTTAATTAGATTTTTTTTTAAATTGGGTCAACTGGGGTGGGTTTAGTTAAAATGGGTGAGTTTAAAATTATTTTAAATAATTAAATTACAACCAATGGTTGAGTGCCACGTCATTAAAAAAATATTATTTAATTATTTTTAATTTTGGTCCGTTAATGAAGGGGTAAATTTGGACCTAAAGGTGGATGTGAAGGGTATTTGGGGCCAATAGGTGGATGAGGGGTAATTGTGTACCATTTTCAATACTTCAAGGGTATTTTAGGCTCTTTTCCGTTTAGTGAAATTCCTTTCAGTTGGTAACGATAACATTGTTAAATAGAAATTGAGGCTTCCAAGCAGATAACTACAAGATTACGTTTTTGGTAAGTTTGTGTGGTTGGTTAGTTTTCGAAAAGTGGATGCCATATTGGAGTTTTAGATGATATCAAAATCCAAAGTGGATTCAAACAACATGTAAGATGATAGTCAAATGATTTTTAGATTTGGAAAAAGGAGGAAATGTGATATGGTAGCGGCAAAACTCGTGGTGTGAGAATGAAAAATTGAAGTTTATAATTAAAAGGAGGGAGTCATTTTCTTCGGGAAAAAAGAGAATAAATTATAGAGATAGCATTAGTGTTATCTGAATAGTGAATCAAGTTTATGATATTTTCCGATAACTTAAATCAGGCAATGTGTTTGAGAGAAAAAGAAGCTAATAAAAAATAAAAGATATTTAAGAAGTAAAATATGAATTTTTTTCAAAAAAAAAATTCAGAATCTTAATATGAAAAAGGAAACTCACTTGCAAAGTTAATGTTTTAATAAAAAATTATCTCTAAACACTTTGAGAGAGTGAACAAACTTTCTTTTCCACCTCAGAATATAGGCTGAGATCAATTTCATTTTAACAGAGGGTGTAATAGGATCCTTCAGAAGTATATTTGTTGTAGTTAGCATGACTATAAGTTGGGGGCTTTTTGCAATTTCCAAAATATATTGTTAATTCATCATTAAAAAAGATACTGAAAAAAATTATTGAGACTCGAAATATAATAGTGTGACTAAAATAGTAGTAGTATTTTATCATAATGAAAGAATAGTAACAAAGATTGATTTGGTTTACTGTCACAAACTGAGAAGGCACCCTAGAAGATATGGTGTTCTCGAATCGTCAAATGGCGTACTTGACCTATCGGATGTCTTTTATAAGCACTTTGACATCGTTCATTGCATACATGTACGAAAAGTAGTGCGGAATTAAAACTTTTCACACGAAATAGTATTACTTCAGAATATCTCTTTTATAGAAAAACATCATGAAAGGCTCAGTCTCAAAGTCGCCATCTAAGACATACGAATATATTTGGACACAACCCATACTTCGACGAATAGAAAATAGCTAAGTCTATTACAATACTCTTAATAAAATAATCTAAACACCATGATGTCCTCAAATCTAGTGAGGATATGCCAGCTCTTGCTTGAATGAAAATGCCAATCCAACCTTCACTTCGACACTCCTCTCAAATGCCACCTACACCTTTAGAGATATATAAAATATTTGGAATTAGTACATTGTATGTACTAACTATAGTGTAATGCAAAAAATCATGATAAAAGGACATATGACAAAACATGCTCTTTTGAGTAAAACTTCATATCGTACGTATTAGAATTAGATATAACACCAACACCACATATATTGCACAAGATAACTTCAAAACACATAAGCATGAGACCCTCATACAAAAGGGGATTCTAAGGTTCACTTGAGTGAGTTATGAAGCGACCGCCCATACAATCCCTTCACACACACCAGAGAGATTCTTTACATTACATAAGATAAGATTATTTCCATTTCATTAATTAAACTCCCTACCTATAATTACTCTAAGTCTCACCTAAAAAAAACATGAAGATACCTCTCATACACCCTCTTCAAGCCTACCTAAAGAATCCTCAAAGCTACTCTAGGTAAGTACCTTTTCATTAACATTCCTTTACTTAAGTCATTATGTCCATTAGACCTTTTAAGAGACATTCACCAATTATGGACTTTCACATAACAGTTTTGGAGAAGACCTAGGGACTCACGCACTAATATCTTCAAAGCCTAGTCACGCAATGTTTAGATATTGTCTCATTCCACTACCTAAATGTTTTAGTACTTATCCAACACTAGCATGTATCTCACATGATGAGAATAGACAATAACCGACATAGACCATACTAGATATACATGGAATCTGGAATCTACCCTACTACGATGAAGGATGTTCTACTTGCCAAGGGTAGAAGTAGGACATATCCCATGTAGGCACATGGTTAAGGAATATCGAGGGCTTTTATGAACTCTAGTATCCTTCTCAAGTAGAATCAGATTGCACTCTAGACTCCTTCTCAAGTAGAGCTACAATCCATAACGTATTCGCTCGGTGATAGCCTTTGTTCTCATAGAGTACGTTCAATCATTTAAAGGTATATGAGGAGGTATCATCTCTTTGTCCTACCAACTTATAGTACCCCTACAAAGAATAGGTCCACAAGGGCTGCCACTAAAGTTCTATAAGGATAACTTATTCTTCACATTCTTTTTATTTAGAAGGTTCCATGTACTAGTCATGATTAGAAAGGCACCATCTTATGTCTACCGATCTTAAGACTTTCATTCAACATTCATTCATACACATACAAGACAGGGGTGCATAAGACGACTAAGTCAAGATGTTCATGTTCATATTCTTCATGTATCATGTAAGGGACATAGGTCTACCAAAGCAAGACACTTCATTATTATCTTATCACATATAGCATAACATTCAAGAAGCACATAGAGACAACTAAGTATACTTGCTAGTCATTCTACTCATTTCTATAGAATCATAAATATAAACCATCACAAGTCACATATAAGTGTTCAAGAAGCATCATACTTCAATAGCAAGACATTCACAAAAAGACTTCAATATAGCCTACTAATGACATCTATCATCAACTACGAGAACTCATGCTCAGAATTCAAATATCACATAAGTCATCAAGACCTTCATGAAGTAATGTCGACAAGTCCACATTGTTTCACAATTCATGAAGTAATGCCAATGAGGCCACATAATTCACAAGTATAGCACATAAGCACCGCCACCATAAGTGGACAATACGAATCATCATCATAATTCAAGACTTATACTATATAATATCGAGATATTTAGGTTAACATACAACCAATCCAATCTCACAACTTCAATTCATATCCAATTAATTCAACTCAATACTCGAAGGCTCTTACCCATATCCTTGATAACCAATTCAATCCAATAATCTCAATATACAATGAATCCAAAGTAATACAATATGAATTTATCAATTTAGGACAGCCTACTAATTATTCTTACATTATTCATACATATATCAATAACCCAATACAATCTACATAAGAAATCAATACAATTGAGACATGATCAAATCACCCATAATATGATAAAAATAAGGAAATCATGATTTGTATGGGTTCATGGAGTTTTTGATCCAAAATCAGCAAATTAACATCAATTCAATCATAATTCATTGATTTAAAACATTTTATGCAAGAACCCATTACTAGATCACCAAATAAGAGAATTCAAGTTTTTCATTTTTTTTGAAATTATTGAAATTGACTCCTTGAATGGAAGGAATACAAGGATGAAAAATCATACTTTAATTCTAATGAAAACCCCACTAAATTGATGGAGAAAAACTTGGAAAATAAGTCTTCTTCCTTGGAGCTTCAAAGCTTCATCAATGGTGGTTTTTGGAGAGAAGAGATTGAGAGATTTTATTTTGGACTTATGGGTTTTGATTTGAAGGGTGAATTGGGGTTTTAAAAGGTCCAATAACTGCCTATAATTAGTCACCAAAATACCCAAATGGCCCCTGACTTATAGGACCCTTTTACCCAAGTCAAACTCATCTTAAATTTCTAGAATTATTTTTGAAAATAAAATTCCGAAACAGTGAAATCTACCTCATCTCCGTGACGCGGAGCAACTCTTTGCTCTCCGTAAACCTAGTCCGCGACGCGGACTAATTCCCATCATGAACAAATCATGCTTCCTTTTTTGAACTCAAAACAACACATAATACTTGACAAAACACACTAATACACACAAGCGCGTTTAAGGCAAAACTTTTGAACGTCTTTGACATTCCTGGACGTTTGACCTCAAAAATTCACCAAACCTTAGACTTTTTCTAATAGCAATACTATTAAGCATTTTATGATTTTCAAACGTTATGAAACAAGTGTTAGGCTCTAGTTCAACCTTGCTCATTTTTAGGAACGTTACGTTTTCACTCTTGAGATAGTTTTATCATAACACCCCCGATGATGTTGGTACAAAGTTGGTCAATGATGATAAAACTCTACGGAATGAAGTCACATTAAGAAAATAGCTTGAGAAAATCATTTTTCAAAGATATTATTCGCGAAAGCATTCGATAATTATGTATCTATTTTTTTGTTAAAGTCGTTGATGCATAGTTAAGAGTCTCAATTGGAGATTGTTAGTGCATCTATTATTAATCACGTATCTAAAGAAAGTAACTCTAATAATTTTCATTTTTTAAAGTCTAAGTGGAGAAGCTAGAGATTTATACTACTAGTCATGTGTTTAGATATAATATTTATTATATAACAATTATTTTATTCAACTTTAATAAAAAATAAAAGACATCATGTATTCTTTGATGTATTTTCTTACTTATATAGTAGGAAAAAATACTAGAATATTTATTTTAGGACATTCATTTTCACAATTTAAATATATTATTTTATTTAGAACATTAATATTTTAACTGCAAATATGAAAAAATATTTAAAATACACAACTACATATTTCTATGCCTATTTTATTGGCTTGGTGTGCTGATTTGTGGGACTCATAATTTATTTTATTTATTTTCGAAATCTCAATCACAATTATATTTTCATATATTCCTTTATTCAATACTAGAGGAAGTGTCATTAATTTCTCCAATATATTTGACAAAATCTTGAATCAATTATATCAAAAGAAAGATATAATAAGATTTCTCTTTTATTTATTGCTAGTTAAGGAAGGTGACAGGTGTATGTCGACTAAAACATCAAGTGAGTATGAATGTTCTTCAAATATTCAAAAAAAAATTCTTATTATAGTCTTTGCATTTCACAAGGTTTTTCATTTTTGATTTCTCTTTTTCCTTTGTTTCTGAATTTTTATTTTTCATCTTAGTCTAGGATTACCAAGACATCGAGTTGATGCAAGTACTTAATCTCCTTAGGTACTTTTTAAAAGTCAACCATAGCTTCCCCTATGAACATATATCCATGTCATCACTAGATACGATAATGATTTATTCTATGTTTTTATATTAAAGTAGGTAGATACACTCAATTATTTTCAAAACATTTGTATATTCTTTTTTAGTCTATGTTAATTCCACGCTCTTCTCAATTGTATCAGATCCATTTATCTTCCTTTGTATCCAACATAACAGGAAGACGTGTGGCCACCCAACAAGAAAAAAGGCTACCTCAAAAAAGCTACCTACTTGGGGTAGAGGGATAGGTACGTAGTGTGGAACCGTCGAGGATCTCCTGTTAGGATCGAATTCACGCACACACACTTGATGAATGAAGAACATAAGAAATTTCAAGAGAAAGAGATGACAGATCTAGAGATAGAAAGAGAAAACCCAATATTTCGTGGTAACACCCCGTGAGTAAACTTCCACGGTGGTGAGGTATATTTATTTTAATAAATCAAAGTATTTTTAGTTACGGAGAATAAATGAAGAATAAATTTACAGACAATAAATGCAGAATATATTAATCAGGCTCCATAACCTAACAATTCTCCCATTTGGAGACTGGCTCAGTCATCTAAAAAATACATTCTCAAAAGAAATCTCTTTATCATCAACATCTCTACCGCACCGCAACATCTGTAGAAACAACTACAGAAGACCAACCGAGGTTTTACATAACCCAGTTTCCCAACAACAACACATTTCGTCAACATGTCTGTCGGGTTCTTTGCACCCTCTATCTTCTCCAAGCACATATCACCATCCTCCAATGCCCTGCGAGTGAAATGGTATCGCCTTCTGATGTACTTTATCTTCGAATGATAGACTGGATTTTTCACCAACTGTATGGCACTCTGGCTATCAAAGTAAAGAATCTTCTCGCTCTGCTTCTTGCCCAATTCCTCCAGATAATCTGCCAGCCATATCATCTCTTTCCCAGCTTCAGCTATTGCCACATACTCAGCTTCAGTAGATAAAAGAAAAACACACTTCTGAAGCCTGGACATCCAACTCACTGTTGTTCCACCTATGGTATAAATGTACCCAGATGTACTCTTTCTAGAGTAAACATCCCCACCAAGATCAGCATCCACAAAACCCTGTAGAGTCACCTTGCCTTTGCTAAAACAAAGTGAAGTATTGGATGTACCTCTCAGATATCTGAAGAGCCACTTCACAGCTTCCCAATGCTCTTTCCCAGGGTTCGCCGTGTATCTTCTAACAACTCCCACTGCATGTACTATATCAGGTCTTGTGCAGACCATAGCATACATCAAACTACCAACTACTGAAGCATATGGAACAAGTGACATGTGATCATGCTCCTTGGCGGTCTTGGGTGACTGCTCCTTTGACAATTTAAAGTGATTTGCCAATGGAGTAGTCCTGGGTTTAGCATCATTAACCCTGAATCTTCTCAGCACATTCTCAATGTACAAATCCTGTGATAGATTTAAAGTGCCAGCAGATCTATCCAGAGAAATCTTCATCCCCAAAATCTATTTCGCTGGACCCAAATTTTTCATCTCAAATGCTGCAAACAACTTTGTCGTCAGATTGTTAATCTCCCTCATACTAGATCCTGCAATCAACATATCATCCACATACAAGAGTAGAAGACATATGAATCAGTGTATTTCTTGAAGTAACAACAAGGATCCTTTTCAGCATTGCAAAATCCACTCTTGGTCATGAAAGAGTCAAATTTTTTGTACCACTACCTTGGTGCTTGCTTTAGTCCATACAAGCTCCTGGTGACCTTCCACAACAAGTGTTCCTTGCCTGGAACCACAAATCCTTCTGGTTGCTGCATATAGATCTCTTTGTCCAGATATCCATGTAAAATTGTTGTTTTTACATCCATTTTTTCTAGATGAAAATTCTCCGATGCAACAATACTCAACAGAATTTGAATAGAGGTTAACTTTACAACAGGAGAAAATATTTCAGCATAATCAATACCTTTCCTTTGTGAATATCCTTTAACCACTAAACGAGCCTTGAATCTTCTTTTGCCATCTGGTTCAGTCTTGATTCTGAACACCCACTTGTTCAGCAAAGCTCTCTTCCCTGTAGGTAAGTCAGTCAACACCCTTGTGTCGTTCTTCTCAAGTGACCTCATCTCATCATCCATGGCTTGCTCCCACTTGATCGAATCCTCCACTTGTAGGGCCTCATCAAAAGACTCTTGTTCTTCCTCATCAGTAAGCAATAGATAGTGTAAACCGCGTAAACAATTATATATATTAATCAGGCTCCACAACCTAACATCTCCCACATTATTATCTAGCTTTTGGGGTGTGGAAGTGTGGATTTAGAATTCCAAATTTTATATAAGAAAGTAATTGTCTATAAATGTCATCTTGAGTTTGACACAAATGTTCATTTTCTTTGTTTGATACAATGTAATATGGAAGCAAAATGTATGGGTTGATATTTATAAATATTTAATCTAGAGTTGGAAGAGGGTTAAGAACGACTCTCAGTGCAATTATAGTACTGGAAGAAGGAGATTCACAAAATAAATTTTGAGATAAACACTAGAATGTATACCTATAATTTGAATATATGATTTAAAACAAATTTCGAACCACATTTGTCACTACACTAGTATCTTCCCTCATGTCAACGAGATTCACTAGGAAGATTAGGTTTGCCTTAATTGCACAATATATTTTTATGAACAAAGGGGAAATAATTAACAAGATTGTCAATACCTGTTTCCACCACTTAATAATAGTGTTAACTGCTAAATACCTATTGTAAATGTTCTTGTCTTGTATATATAATAATAAGTTCAATAATATATATAGATAAGTTGACTGTTTTGTTAAAAAATTATGGGTGAAGTAAACTTAATTATTGTTCTAACTGCTAATTAGGATTTCAAAAATTAGGGGTAAAGTAAATTCACAAACATATCTTTAATGGGAGAAAACCAATAATGTGATGTAGGTAACCTATTTTTCCTCCTAGGAATTTGATTTCTAAAGTAATGTTTTGAGAGCTAAACATCTATGTACATGAGATTGATATTGTTTCTACTTCTAAATACTAGCACTTCTGAAAGAAGATTTTGTTTTTTATCCAGCTTTAATCATAACCTTAAATGTTTACCTACTGAAAGGATTTGAGACTATATTAGGACTTGCATGTTGTAGGATCTATCAACAAAGAACCCTTTGAAGCAACAATTAAGCTAATGCAACGAGTACGTTTTTGGTTTAAAATACTGTCAACGGAAAATAAAGAATTCTCTTTTTATAAAGAGTTAGAACTTTTGTAAAGAGTTCTAACCTTTATGTAAACTTATGCCTTTTCCAAAAGGTTGCGACTTTTCTGGAGGTTTTTACTTTTCAAAAAATTGTGAAATTTTCAACAATGAAGAATAAACACTTGTTCACACTACCCTATGTTATCAATAACTTTAGTTGATTCATCTTGTCTTTCTATAACGAATAACGCCTTTCTAGGTTTCTTCATCTACT